TTAACATAAGATTAAGGATTAATAAATGGTGAAATACAACGTGAAAAACGATAAAACAGAATTAAATATTCAAAGTTTAGTAGACATCTTACTCAACGTGAATAAAAAGTGAGTAAAATGTCTACTATTACAAAAATAAACGTCAAATACAAAACAGTAATTAACAAAGGTGAAAAAAATACAGTAATAAACAAAATCATTGTAGTGCTGCTTCTATGTCACTTGACCCAAGGAATAGGTCAAATTCATTTTGAGCACAACAATAATGAGGCCTTCTGTAGCTTCTTCATTTGAAAGCCTCATTTCTCGTTCGTCAGGAAAGATGAATTCTGTGCTCTTTAATGTTGTGAAGTATTGAAGGTTCTGTCGAAATCCCGTGTCCTCTTGTTCAGGAAGTCTATAGCATAAAGACATCCTGATTCATTTCATCACCACAAAATATTGTCGTTAAAATTCTCGAATACCCATTATACCATGAAAATAGGAGTACTGTCACGCATCCCTTTCATGGCTTTTTCTTTCTCAAATTAGATGTCGATCCACAAACTTTTTATCGTTGATACTGGCTTCCTGAGTTCGTCACACTTTGGAAATGCAAAGACGCTATAATGATTAAGCGTCATGTTTAACTACATTTCCAAAGAAATTGTTCTCGTCCAAGTTCAGAACTTTGTAAGCTACGAAACTAATCTTACAGTTTCGTAGCTTTTCTTAGGCTGAGGGTAAAGTACCATGGATTTTCCTTACTGCCTTCTTCTTCACATTGCTCGCAGACTTGTCGAGGATCGCGACGAGTGAGCGGATATTAGGTCTGAGTTGACGTTCTCTGATGGCTTCATCCGAAAACTATGTGCATGTATTCACACGCACATTCAAACATGATGCCATCCAGCAGCACTCATGAATCACTAGACCCATCAACTCATCTGTTTCAGTCTCGCAAAACTTCCTCTGCGCGAGACTTTTATCATTCCGTCAACCCACTCACTTCCGCTTCAGTTTCGAAATCATGCGAACATTAATAAAGCAATTTCTCGGACCCATAGTTTTGCTGAAATATTAGAAAATTAAACAAAAAAGGAAGAATATTGTATTGAATAACAAATACGAAGATATTATTTTTAGCAAAGAAGCAAATTGAAGACTGCATTCTTAACTGTAAAAGTCTACGATATATAACTCAAAGATTGTATAAGTGCAAAATAAAACACAAATAGATCAATAAAGAACCAGCTAATTTGCAACATAAGTACCTAACTTTACGTGTACGCAACGAAACGTGTAGAAGAAAGTTTAAAATGCTTACATAAAGCTGAACATATAACTAATTCTAACCCTATAACAAGTTAACTAAATGGTCAAATAACCTATGAAAGTACAAATCTGCCCAACATTTAAGCAAGCAACCGACTCGTAGACATATATTTCCTCCAACTGATTGCACCCACATCCTAACCTAATTTAACGTAGTGGCCGTGCCGCTTTTCATCATAGCGGTACTCCGGGCAGAATCACTTAGAATTGCAATCGGTTGTGCATAGTAAAATGAATAATATGGTATTCGAAATCCTTTCAGCTTTTATAGCGTAGATTTCGAGTTCATTGAAATAATTTTTACGAGTGCATTTAACGTTAAATGTAGTTAGTAAACAAAAAAGTCAAAAACGATACGAGAGGATTAAGTACACGTTTAAGATTGATCGAAAAATAAGAGTATTGAGTGTCTGTGAAGGATTTAATACTGAAAATGAAGACAAAAATTATTATAAATCAAGCAGTTTGCATGAAAATATATTGGCAAGGATGATCAAATTTTTTGAAAAATTGTTAGCAAATTTTTGTTCAAATTACTTAAAATTTGAGTAGCAAATTGGAATAAATTATAAAATTACTGAAAATCCAAATTTTTGCCAATATTTTTAGTAAAGTACCCTGCAAGCTCTGTTCAGCCATTAGAAGCACACCTTCAGGCTGATGAATATCCAAACCCAGAATCACATCCAGTCATAAATACTATTTTAAAGTTAAGATCATTTATTTAAATTTTATTTCGAAAACAGTTCAATGTAGAACTAAGGAAAATAAATGTAAATAGAAAAAGCATTACAATTTCCAAGTACTGAAATTTGATAATCAGTTCAATGAAGGAAGTAAAATTGAAAAGAATTGTTTCTGAATGAAAAAGCGTAAAATACACAAATTATTATACATTTAAATGTATAAAAATTTATTTATTAATTCCATAAATAGAAACCTTTCTAAATGTGAAGTAGGTAAAGGTCATATCTGATTTGAAATGAATCTTCGTATATACTGAAGCAATGTTTCTTCGCACAACAGTAATAATAATTATTATCATAATTGTTATTATTGAAAAATAAATATAATAACTTTGAAAAATACATAAGTATTTTATAAACGTAAATTTACATTCTGAATACTAATTTGTAACATTAGATTTATTAAAATATTGCAATTCTCCAAGTCAGTTACAGTCAAAATTGAAGAGTCATTTTTTTGTTATGCAATTTTTAATTATTTTTGTAAATGTAAGAACAAATACGGTTATAAAGTTAGCTGAATAAGTTATGACTGGAAAATAGACAACTTCAATTTTACAAGCTTTTTATTTTATTTTTTTTTCAAACTTTATGAAGTAAACATATATTTAATAAACTTTTTAAAATAAAAATGTTGATCGGAAATGTTTAATAACTTATATCAAAGCAAATAATGAAAAAACTCTATTTGTTTTCAAAATAATTAAACAATTTGTACACAATCAAATTAATATGATAATTTACAAGTAATTTTATTAAATTTATTGATTGCTAAAAAGTCGTTTTTGCATTTATATTTCCAACTCTCAAACTCTCTTCCGATCTTTTTTGCATATTACGATTCTTACTCCGTATTTATTATCATTTAGCTTTTGAATAAGTAAATTCAGTAATGTATAAGTAATAAATTGAGAACGTTCTTTATCTAGTCGAAATTTCCATGTATTTCGAATTTAAATTAACGTTTAACTTTTGAACAAAGCAGGTAATGAATTATAAT